TTAGAAAGGCAAACAGTTATGCCAAATCAGTAATTGCGAATGCAGTCACAGAAGATACATACCAAAAGATAATGGACAAGAACACAGCGTTTGAAGTTTGGGAGGAATTAAAAAGAAATTTTGAAGTGTCAACTAAGGACCAACTGTTCCAAGTTTGTAGCAATTTTTCAATTTCAATTGGATAGCGGATGTAGATGTATCCGGCCAAATTGCAAGATTGAAGACTTTATGGAACGAATTAAACAGTGGGCTTCTGGCATCGGGAGAAAATAAACTACCAGAGCTGCTATTAGTATGCAAAGCGATGCAGATTCTCCCAAATAGTTTTCAAAACTTCAAATCAAGTTGGCTAATGCTAGGTGAAGAAAAGCAGTCGATAGATGATTTAATCACTCATCTCTGTGCTTTCGAAAGAGAGATAAAGACTTTCGACACAATCGGTAAATCATCAAGGCAGAACGCCTTAGTTGTAAATGTTGAAAAGCCAAGTTTCAACAAATCAAGAGATTTCACTAAAAGGACAAAACCAGTTGGTAACTGCAACTATTGCCATAAACCTGGACACTGAGTTAAGCAATGTAGAAAGTGGGTCAGTGATGGAAGACCTTCTAAAAATTCCAAAAATGTTTCAGCGACACCAAGAAAAGCATATGATGAAACATCAAATGTAGTTTTGTGCACGTCAGCCAGTAATCAAACACTGAGAGACAACACTTCCTTTTTTCTAAGTACTTTTTCATTAATCACGAAGTTCAGAACGAATCTCAAGACTCATTCTTGTTGTAAAATTCATTGAATCAGAACACTGTTAAATATCGCTAAACAGCAGTTTAGAAATTTTTTAATCGATTGATTGATTGACTCAGTTAATTTCATGGCAAAAAAAACTCACTTGACAAAATTGTGAAATATATTTGCCACGTGTTTTATAGCAGTTGTCTTCAATGAATTAACTGCAAACTTAATTTTTACCTTATGTCGATAAAAGTAATCACTTACGGGTGGATAAAGTTTAATAAATTTTATGAGCAGCACCAAGTAAATACTTGGATTAACATAGATATATTTATTCATCGTGTTATTTAATAAATTCATTGAGAAAATAATTAAAAGTGCAATTATATTCAATTCCAATATTGGTTTTTTGATGTGGTAGGAAGATTTTATATATGTTTGTGAAAGAGTTTGAGGAAAGAAACAACGAAATTTGAAAACCATGCAAACAAGCGAAACCGTCAAAGCGGGATTGGTTAATTTAATATGAATCTCGCATTTGTTTAGCGTGCAGACACACCATCTACACGTAATGTGCTTAATTTATATGCACCGACAATAAGTTAGTCACCAGTGATCAAATGGATTTTATAATTTAATCAAAAGTAGAAATACTGCAAAATTGTTAAAATCTGTTTTAAGGCTATTGCCAGTTAGTATTGAATAAATATATGAAGATGGATACGTCGTGGCGTATCATGCTGTTGCAGTTGTTAGTGATGATTTATTCCTGCCTAGCATTTTTTGCACGTGTCACATGCTTAACAAATGAAAACACATCCAAGCATACAATCATCAGCAGACTGAATACTATGATAAGTTTTCAAATTTTTCAAACACTTGAAAGTTCTCTGCTATTATATAATCGTTGTGTGAATCGATGTGTGTGAGTGTGTGCGTACGTTGTGTACGTGGAAGTGTGTGGGCATGTGTTCGAGTGTATGCTCATGCGCCTGTATTTGTACTTTGTAAGTTCTATTTTTGTTTTCAACTGCACATTTCAAGGAAGAAAGTGGGGGAGTTAACTGTACAACGAATGCAGCAAGGGTTGCAGCAAGCTTCAAGAAATGATCGATACATTCGCGTGCACGCTTATAACAACGTCAAAATACTCAACGGTAAATTGTGCTTTTGTATGCGATTGCTATATCATTAGTCGTTAATTAATGTACGTGCGTTCCGTTGTGTACGTTCTCGAAACGATATAAAGTGCAATGCATACCTAAGATATCATACGAGAAAAATCCCTTTCCTGTTTATCGCTGCTTACTACGCTTCCGTCATGTGCACGCAAAGCATACATGAGATGCATGCATGTAAGTTGCAGGCGCTGTGCGTGCTAGAGAAAATTCTCCCGCGGAAAAAACTATTTCTAGTTTGTATACGAGCTTTCTTCAAACGGTAGAAGAAAATGTTTGTTGACGATTATTTGCTCTGTAATGGATAGGTCAAAGTTAAAAAGAATAGTTTTTGTAATTTTCAACTGAAATTTTTTATTTATTTATTGATTAATTATCGGAAAATTATCGAAAAATTATACTGACTGTTAAAAAGATGTTTTATTTGGCTATATTTACAATTTATTTTCAGTATTACACTTTAAATCATAAATAATTTTATAACTCTAATAATTAATAGTCTTAATATCAAATAACTTTTAGACATATTTACGCTTTAACCTACTCTCACTTCCACTTATTATCTCGAATTTCGTTTGCATTGAGGCACTAATGTAAAGTTTATTTACACTTGATGATGTATTGATTTTTGTTAACCACTAACGATTCTTTTCGCCATCAGTTGATTCATAATGCTCAAAAATGGTGATAAATGGAGCAGCAGCATAAATTACAAACTAAATTTAATTTATTTGCCGGTTTTGATTTTTTGCAATGTTGGATTAGTGGAAAATAATTCGAAAGGGTCTGCATGCGTCTACGAAGCTCACTTGAAAACAAAAGAACGATGGCACGGATTTCTGGCGAACATAACTTTCATACACACCGGTCGATTAACATTTGAAGTCATCTACCCAGTCGAACTATGCTGTGTCAACATTTTATTTTACACTCAGGAACAATTAAAAATTGTGAATCCTCGATCAAGTTGTTGGAACAAACAAAACATCATAAAAACTGAAGAGGAGCAAATTTTAAGGTTAACCCCAACGTTTACTTGGTCGGGATGTCAGCAAGTTGAACAGAAAGGTGTTTCAAAGTACATATGTGAAGGAGGCAAGAGTTTCGTCACGAACGACTACAAAGACAGTCCAGAAACATGGCATATAGCTGTTTCAAACTGCGAAAAGATGTACGGGATTGATATGCAATATAGATTTGTTGTCTACGGTCAGATTGGCACTTGTCATCCGGAGAAGTTTGTCAAAAATTTTCATTTATTTCATTCAAAAGTTTATCCAGTTGCAAAACCTCTCACCAAAATTTATCTACAAAATTATGAAGAAAATGTACCCGAAAGCACTTGTACGGTTTCAGGGGAAGTTAACACTTCCAGCACATGGTACGGTTTCATCACAAACACGTCGTTTAGCAGCGGCGGAGGTTTGGAATATGAATTTATCTTCCCATTCAAGCCAAGTGCAACAACAATAAACATATTTTTTATGAGGCAGAGCACGTAGAAAATCTCAAGGAAGATTATACCTGTTGGCAAAAGGAAAGTGCCATTAGTACGCGCCACATTAAAGAATTGGTGATGGATCTTGGAGTACACAATTCTTGGGACAACTGCATCTTAAAAAACAACTCTATACACGAAAAACCAGTTGTCGTATGTTCGAGCAAGAGGTTATTTAACCAGCCGAAAATTTTCCACATAGCTGCAAGCAGTTGCTCCAGTCAGACTGGAATATATTTAAAATACAAAATAACAACGTTGGGATTCACCGGTGATATTTGTTCCCACGCCAACCATATGAACACAATTATTTCTTTTTTTTCTTTTCTACTTATCATTCCTCATTTCTTAATTGTATGTAAATAATTCCTAGTACTTATTCCGACATGACATAACATTAAAACAATTTGCACGCACACTACCAATATCTATTGCCTTGAGGTTACAGAATGAAACCAATAAAATATATAAATAACGGAAATAAATTAATTTATCATGAAGGTAGTCAGTCAACTGTTTCGTGGTCGAGTGAGTAGTAGATTATTAATTCGTTTGTTTATAATTATCACTTGTATTTTTTAATTTTAAAAGTTAGTAGATTATACGATTCATTTCTATGTTTACGTTTGCTGAGAGAAGTATTTGCGACATTGGAATGAAACGTAGACTTAGGTAGTAAAACTTATAAATAATGTTATAAGCAAGGATACGATGCAACTTCAATAATGACCATTGTGATTTATGATATTTAATGTACAGCAATTATTTTCATAAAGTAATATAATTTTATGGCTAGATTTGATGAAATGTAACTTTATTTTAAGCAACTAAGCATATATTTCTACGGATATACTTGAATATTGTTAACAACGTCGTTAGTTAAATGTGACATGACATAATTTGGATTTTGACTTTTTCTGACCAATTTTAATTTTTTCCTTTTCAAATGTGAAATAAATCATTAGAAACATTGCACATCATTTATCAAAATTTGAAATTTTTTAAAGAAACTAGCCAGTGGAAATATGGGTAGAGTCTGTTTACATTTGGCTGTTAATTAAATTTAGTTGACTCACCGGGCGACAACAAATTCTACAGACCGAAGTATATATTTCGTTGAATTTAAGATAAAATTAATTAAGTCAAAAAATAAACTATGAAATCATTCAACACTGAATGTTTTTTTACAAGAATTATACAAAATTTTTAAACACTAGCGATGATATGGTCCATGACAGTTTGAAAAGATTGACATATCATAGGCAAAAATCAAAAGAAAATATGAAGCATGCATTAGAGTAATCGGCCGTTACATTCGGTAGATCCACAATAACAGGGCAGCTTCTTTCCTGGCACGCTTCCAACTTCGTAGTTGTAATTCCATGTTAACTCCGTGCCCGCCTTTATTAACCTGGCAACATTGGCATAAATCTCTAAATAGAACTTTCTAATCATTACTAATAAAAGAAGCATTAAACTTAATCCCTGCCTTGCTATATGTTGCTCAACAGTTCAACTCTATATAACAAGTTAATTGAGGGACCATTTATTTTGAGATGGGATGTTTATTGAACTTTCAAACTGGAATGTTTTGAGACCTGCTGTTTCGTTTGTTTGGCAATTTGGTAAGAATGGCACGTCCTAGCGCTGTTACCCCAATGTAGATGCCGACTGGCGGAGAAATGGGAAGATAGAGTCTTGAGTGCAAGTTTCGTAGGATGTGTAATAGCATTTGCGACGGTAAAGCTATACATCTAAGATAGAAGTCATACGTCATCAGCAGCTGTGGATTTGTCAAGGCAGCTCAATAAAAGAAAATATTAATACAAATAAACGAAGAAAACCAACTAAAAAACAACAGGAGCTCAGTTGAAATAAAATAAAATTCAACACACTTGAAAGCAAAAAATGCCACCCAAGGAAATCTGAGGTCGTGAGTATCGTAGAATACATTCTGTACAAAAATATTCGGACTGCAACTGTGCTGTAATTCAAAATGTTCATCTCTATTATTAGACAGCAACAGCTTTAATGTATAAATATTTAATTGCAACTCAAATGACAAAAAAAAATAGGAACAAGATAAATTCTTAGGCCTAACATGACTGAACTAAAAAATTGAACGAACGTTGAAGTATCGGCCCAGGTTTCCGACTGATTTGGCGTCAAGTATGTAGACCATGTCCTCTCCGTACAGCTGTCTCGTTTTCATTCTCACCGGCACAACTGTCAATGAATGTTATGTTGCGTAAAATATTATATGGCTATTTATAGCTGGGCCAACAACCATATCAGGAACAAATATATCATTGCATTAGCACAAAACATGAAGGGGAATATGTTTAAAAAATAATTCAGTTATCATTTAGATGAAATTACATTAACATGATTCAATGATGGCAAATAATGGCAGATAGTGGAAATGATAGTAAACGAAGTTTTATGAAATAAACCGGCACTGGCGACATCTTCAACGTTCAATTTTGGTTGTTTAACCAGCTTGTCGGATGGAAAGGTGGTGGTCTGGTGGCTTAATTGGTTATCTCTCATCGCAATCGTTCTAGACCTCAAAATTCGGGTAACTCTTCGTTCTTCAGCTGCATCACGTGTCAGTCAGTATTTATATAATATATAGGCCAATTTGATTGCAATCACCAAACTTAGCCGCATTATTCTAAAAAATATATCACCTCATTAGATACTATATAATTACAACCAACCCTGTATTCTTATCACATTACTCCAATGTTGTATTTAAAATGTTAATTTATATATGTATATAATGATGCACCAAAATCATGCAGTTGATTTAACTACATTGATGAGGACCATTTACGCCAACCTAAACCACCAGTCAGCCAACAAACAATTACCATCAAATTCATCGTCGTACAGAGATTCAGCATCCAAAAAGTCATCTTGGGATAGGTCGGTTGAACTTCTCACTGTGCATTCAACATAACAAAAAAATTTTAATTAAAGTTTGTAAAGAATTTTAAAAAATTTGTTAGTTTAAATAAAAAATGCCGATCAAAATTTCAGTTAATTTTCATGTTTTCAACGTTACAAATTTTCTGTTTACAGCAAACCAACCCCGTTAAAGATCGAAACATAGTCATAATATCAAAAGGAGTATGATCTCATGCACTTGAATTTAATACAATGAACACCGCCATTTATAATATCATTTAATTTTTCAATAACTTAAAAAAACAGGTCAGATTATATTTTACTTGATTTAATTGAGATGGTTGAGCTAGAAAAAACTCGTTTTAAGGCCTTTGAATTCTTCACGTTGTCATGTTTGTGAATCTTGTTATCATTGCTAGTGTCACTTACGTTGTCGCTCTCAGGGTCGATGTGGTTACTGCTACTGCTGCAACTAGCGCTGTCGCATGCAGCCGTATTCATGTCGACGTCGTTAATATTATTTTTCCGATCATTCACATCCATGACGGCATTGCTGTCTTTGTTTCCATCACTACTTTCACTACTGGCTGTCTTTGATAGATGTACATCATTGTTGATGTTACTGTTGTTATCGTTGTTAATACTGTTTTCGAGGTCAGACTGACTGAAGTTGTTCGATAGTGTTAAGTCTTTGGTGTCATCATTATTATTATTATTATTATTGTTGTTGTTATTATTATTATTATTGGAGTCACTGTTGGTTAAGCATTTTGTATCTTCTGATTCGTTCAATAAGGTGCTTTCAGACTGTTCCTCTTCGTAGTCAGACGAGTCCAAGTCACTAATCTCAACTTCAAAGTCATCATCCTGTAAATCCTCCTCCCCATCCTCCATATCATTTTTAACGACGACTTCTACCATGCTGTCAGTTGATCCACTGTCTGTTGTTTGCTTTGCTTGCATGTCTGTGGCCAGATCTTGGGTGACGTTCGCCGCGAGATTTCCGCTCGTGGATGCTGGTAGCATGTCAACGACATCTGATTTAATAGAATTATCAACAACTGGATAGTTTCCTTTATCACATGCATCCGGTTTTACGTCACCAACATTTATATTATTATTATTGTTGTTGTCGTCATCTGATTTTTCATCATCCACTTTTGATTGAATTTTTTTTGCATCGGTATCAACGTCGTTAGCTTCCAAATCATTGGTCTCAGTTGCGAATTCAATTTTCTTTTTGTGATCTGCTCGTTTAACATTGTGCTTTGAATTCTGAAAAGCTTTAAATAAATAATTAGTGAAAGATAAAGAAAAGATGTTTAAAAAGTTGATAATGTCTATTTTATTGAACTGAAACGAGTTATCTTGAATAAATAGTGAATGCTTTAAAAATTTATTGCACAGAGTATATCTACCATTCATTTTAGACTTTCTGGCGAGCCATACTCGAAACTTTTCATCATCAACATTGTCCTTCTTTTTCCTATTTGCATTGAGAACAATTTAAATATACAGTAAGGACTGCTTCGGTTGTGTAACTGTGTGTATTGTACGTAATTTTGATACGTTGTTATGGAATAATGGAGGCTGTCTGAGATATTTCTGCATTTTAAAACAACTAATCCTAGTCAACAGATTGATTTTAAAAGCCATGGTAAATATCTAATCAATAAAAATGATGTTGGGAGAATTATAAAGAAATCTTCAATATAACTGGCTCGAAAAGTAACAAACCTCTTCTTCTTCTTAGCATTCAGTCCATTCTTTTCCGTATTTTTACCGGAACTTCTGTAAATTCGATCATATTCATAAGAGTTTCATTTAAATGATTAATTAAATTGAAAGAAATAAACGAAACATATGTCAATGAAGGGTCATGAAACAAGTGCGAGGAGTCAATGCCAACTAAATTTTATGCATACTCAGAAGATTTTCATGAAAAGCCTAAGATAGAATTATAAAAAAAATGGCAACAATCATCGTCAACATTTAACAGCATATTTAGGTTCGTTTGAAATCTGAGCGACAGTTTCAGGTTCACCATTTCCGCAGCAGCTTTCATGTCTTTTTATTCAACATCAAATTAAACTTGCTCTAATCTTTTTTAATTGTTACACTACAATTTTTCAAACCTTTTTCTTATGTTCTTTAGAGAATTTTCAAATTCTCCACTCAGACTGGCCAAGTTTTACTCTGATAAAACATACCTGGGGAAGACACCAAGATACACCTTGCATATTCTTAGCACAATTTTTTTCATGTTAACAACAATTAGAAAATAAAAGTTACTTCTTTATATAATATTAATATTAGGACAAAAATAAAACTAACTTCCTCCTAGCAACTTCCTTTTTGTTCCATCTGTAAAATAATTAAATAAGTTTGTAATCACGTAAGCGCAAGATGGATATGTTTTTGTCATTCAATGGCCGGTTTTGTGTTACTGTAATTAAATTCTGTTTCAAAATTTTATGAAAATAAAATGAAAAATGAACTTAAATAGCAATATGTCATGAGATACATTGAACTTGAATCACAGTAAGTAAAGAATTCTATAAAATTAGACCACACTGATAAAAAAACTAAATACTGACACGTTTGAGTTTTTCATCAAATCAGTATCACACTCCTCCTCTTCTTCCTCGTCATCGTCATCTTTTATTACGTCACTTTCATATCCCTCTTTCTCTCTTTCAACGACGTCAATGTGATCCAGGTCTGCCAGGTACTCATCGCCGTACAGCTTGCCATCCTGGAGTTATAAAAAGTTACTAAAAAGTATGTTACAATGAATTTTTGCACAGATTTTTGCTGAAACATATTAACAGACTTGCAATAATTATGCAAAAAAATTATGGTGGTGATATCGTTGATTTTTTTAATTTATTTTTGATGAGCAAGATGCAGTTAACTAACCTCATTGGCAGAATCCTCAGTGAGCACCTGACCTGAATACACACATATGAATCGGCCTGCTGGAATGTCATCCAAGCACCTCAAACCCCAACCCCTGCAATTGGCCAAGTTAACGCACGTTATTATGAACATAAATAATTCGTATACAGGGTTAGATGAGAATCTATCACCAACTTTTTTTCAGTTTTGAAAATTTGCAATCGAAGACTGAGACCATTTTGAATGACTCTGTTGCGGCATCTACTGTCGCATGAACACCTCGAATTGCATTCGTATATGCTGAAAGTTAGAAGTTTAACGAAATTATAATTCTATTTGAACACGGCTAAATGCTAAATGCGCCACATGGGTTCATATTCTAATAAGAAGTCTATAAAATGTACAAAAAATAACAATCTACATTAGCACGGCATATTCATACGAAAATATAAGACCAAACTAGTACGAACTAACGCAGTGATGATTGGTTGTTTGAGCCTCCTGTGCGAGTAGCCTGCCTTGTTGTTTTTGTTACCAGGGAGACAACCGGTTGCTTCAACTGTCAGCTGGATGCACTTACACTTGGAACGATCCTGAAATGTTATTGACCATAGTTTGGAGCTAATAGATTGGTGCTATGATGAAGAACATCGTTGCGAGGTTATAACTCTACAAACAATCAAATTTAAGCACAATTGCAAAACCTTATTTTTTTCTCAATAATGAAAATTATTATACATCACCAAAGGCTCTCCCAGACTCTTCTCACAACCTCACACACAACTCACCCTGCAGTTATCTGTACAGTCACATCCAACAAGGAACGATGGATCTGTGTTTAGGTTCACTCCACGACCTAAAAAATTAAAAGGTACTAAATCAACAACTAAACATACTTTTTAATAGGAAAATAACAAAAAATTCTACTGAATAAATGCAAAATGAAGAAAGCAAGCTATCCAATCTAAGTTTGACATCATGAAAATAGTTTCACAGGTTGAACCTGGTATTCTTTCAGTGGAGTACTCAATTTGATCAGGGCGCTGTTCATCGAGTGAGTTAACACAACTAACTGCAACTGGCTCTTTTCCTTGAGAAAAGTCCTCCACTGTACAGTTGTTCTGCAATCAAGTGATGAAGGAATGATTTTCATGTACGCACGTATGATTCGGTGCTTGCGCGGGCATACAAAATATGCCATGTACGTCGTGTGGTGTGGATAGAGCAGCTTACGTGGCACAAAGGTTTAAGTAGTATAAAGCTGCATAATAATTAAACAAACATGTAGACATGTATCATTAAAATATGACCCAACAACCTTGACAACATCAAACTCCACATCAGTCGAGAGCTTCACATCGAATGAAAACAAGTCAATGGTCAGCAGAGAATCCATCTGCGTCAGACCGCCATCAACTTCATCGATAGAGCGAAACAACCTCCCACAGTGCGACCTGTACGTCACCATTTTCTTCTTAAAGTTCCCCGGCTTCGATACTTGCCTAGTTTAACGTTTGATAAGATGGTAGCGACTCGTCAAAGCTACAAAATATTCTACCATATTTAAACCTAAAAAAACATGTGAGTGTGGCTTTTTAGACATAGCATGTTTTTTACGGAAGTATATGCTGAATGTTAACAATGATGTGATGTTCATGTGTTAAAAAATAAGCTTTCAAGCATTTTATATAAAAAATGTCTAATTCTACAACTAAATACGATATACTCAGAAAATTGATTTGAATGACTCAACTGAATAAAATTAAAGTTATCTTCAAGGAAAAAAATGTTTCAAGCCAATAACATCTTAATCAAATGGTAAACACGTAACAGCAAGTACTGCATCACATACTGAAAGTTGTTGATAGATGAAAAATAAAACGTTCTCGTGAGCGGTTGAATCGAATTGATTCAAAATAAACCAACCTGTCCCATCCGCAAAGCAGAGGAATGAGGTAAGGGTTGACCCCTCTGTGGTTCTTTGGATCGTCACCCCCTTCAATTATGCAGGCGGGTCTGCAGCGAATGCAGGAATCTGAAGCCAATCAGAAAATTCGTCGTAATCATACAAGATATAATATATAAATAAATGAAAAAATAAAAACAAATTAATTAATTAATTAATTAATCACGCTAATATATGGCAATGAAAACAATGATGCTTCAGTTAAATAAAGAAAAAATTTCAAAAATTACCATAAATTTCAAAAATTTCTGAAAATTATTTTGAAAACAAAACCAACAAGACCAAATAATGAGTGATTTAAAAAAAAGGAGGAGGAATATCTTAAAAGTCTGACTTGTTTGAGAGTAATTATACAAAGCCTCGCTGAATTTCTAAGTTTGGAAAACTTTTAAAAATCGAAAACGATGAAAGGCAACAAAAATTTCTTGATTCACAATGAAACTATTTGTGAAAGTTCGTTCATAAGCATCAAGCATTAAAATTAAAAAGACACATAATGGTTGAAAAATGTAGACTTAAATTAATTAACAAATACCAAGTTAACGAATACCTTTTCTTCGGTTGATTGCATGGTAGTTAATTCTTTGTAGCAACAAGGGGTCAAGTGTTCGCAAAATGCCAAAACGGTCTAAAAAATTGTTATAAGGAGGTCAGCAGATCAAAAATGGAAAATTTGACACGTTAACATCCTAGGCCCGTGTCCAGCAAACTAAACCACGACATTTTTATTGTCTCTACGCATTCAAATAAAGGATAACAATAAAGTCAAAAATTAAATTAAATCTAGAAAGCTTGTTCATAGGATTATGAAAATTTGAACTGATTTATTTCAGGTTATTGCAAATGACCGTTTTAGCTAAGTACTTTTTTATTTAAGTCTTGTATTTTTTTTTTTTTAACAAGTCAATTCAGAATAAAAATTTTGTATCAAAATAAGCCTTTGCTTTACCCAAAATTCTAACTAGAGTTTTCAGAACCCACTCTACACTCTATGTTGCCGTTTACTGCATTTATACATAACTAATACTATCGGAAAACTATTACTTAAAACGGTACTTAACTGGTTTAATTTTGTGTAATAAAAATAATTTGACAGACCTGTCATTCGATAACTCGGCTGGACTACGGTGGAAATTTTGTTCGTCAAGCTGCTGTCATCTAGTATGGAAGTTGTTTCTACTGATCTTTGCCTCAAGACGTGCTTGTCGCTTTCCTGTGGCTGCAGTGACTCTTTGGATTTCTCCCATTCATCAACATTTGGATCCAAATCTATCATCTCAATACCTGCAAGTTTAAAAAAAATTGGATTTTATTTTTCACTCAATTCAATTAAGGCCAGTATTATTCGTGAATAATTAAAACTATATATATATATATATGTTAATATATATATATATATATATATATATATATATATATATATATATGTTATATTGCTGTAATTGTATCAGTATTTTCAATTGTTGGAGGTTTTGGGTGCGTGTGTGTATATCGGTTGTGGGTGTGCGTACTCTTTGTGAGTGTGTTTGAATTGTGTTATGAGACCTTATTTATTGATTCTTGGTTAATGGTAGCTTTATTTTATGTTTACTTTAGAAATATTTGTTTTTGTATGATCACTTAAATGGACAAAATTTTTCTGTTGGTTATGTCGGATAGCGCCTTTGGGTAGTTCTATAAAAGTCGCTATAAAAGTTTTCTTATAATAATAATAATATGTGTGTCTGTGTGTGCATACTGTATAGCTAAATAAACTGACATTTTTGCGAACTCGTAACATTTTATTGCATTTGTATCAACAAGCCAAGCTTTTTCAAAAAACATTTCAATAATAAAACAAAACAAAATGAAATACGTTAAACTAATATTCACTGTTTAATCAACGTGCAAAGTCAACGATCGATACTGCTGTTTGTATTTAGCATAAGTATATTTGTTTATGTCACTTTTACTTTGTAACAAATGACGTCAGAACGGCCAGATATGGGTTGGGCGGTTTCAATTTTTTTAAGTCTAGTCTCTAATTTAATTGCTTAAATAGTAAAATATCAAGAACAGTTGAGATCGTTCATTGTATCGAGCGTCAACATCGTTTAGCTAGCATGCACAAGAAAACTTTTGGCACATAACAACTTAACGTTGTTCAACGTGAAAGGGAAATAGCAACATGTACGTACATACTCAAAAAAAATTTTTATTCTTCTTTTGGATATTCATTTGTCCCATCAAAAACTGACTTATATTATATAAATAAAAGATGTTGCTAAAATAACAACTACGGTATTTAGTTGCACTATTTCAGCCAACCAAGTAGGTTGGCCAGCAAGATAGTTCAACTAGTGCCATGCCCCACACCAGTAGTGACCTGAATCAAATGCAACAAATCTCGACCATCATGTACTTATACGAAGAAGGCGTTGTTCATTTCATTTGCACATTATGTGTTGTACTCCTATATGCAAACCTAGGCGTCAACAATTTTTAATGAGGAAGATTTCAATGTAAAAACTTCACATGGTTTCCAAATTCAGGATTTTATTTCAAGTTCTCTAAGTGGTCAACAGAGTGTGATAAACAAAAGTAAAAGAATAATTTCCCCAAACTTTGTTGATAAAATAAAATTTAAGACTAAAGTCATAAGTTCTAACAAATTTTAAATCAAATTATAAAAAATTAAGAACAAACATAAATACACAGCAGCAAACAGGAACATTACTCAAGTCAACGAAACTACTCAGCAGCACTAGAATAGCAACATATGGATAAGCAGAGTGAGAGTAAATCATTAACAGTGAAAAATATGCTCTGATAATTAAAAGGATAACAATCACCTTTGCTAGTGGGATCGTCATCGTCTAGGACAGTGTAGACAACGTAGGCACCTTTCTTGTTCATCTTCTGCATGGTGCTGAAGCGAGGACCGCGACCGATCTTCTGTGAGGCTTCTGCCTTGGCCTTCAAAAAGAGCAAAACAATTGAACTGTTAGACAGGACAAAACTTATCAACTGGCTCAACATATAACGGAGAGATCAAGATGAGTTAAAATTATTACGATTTTGTAATTGAAACTGATAACAAACCATTTAAAGGAATTATTAATAACGCAAACTTAGTTGACGTAACGCGTTTGTTAAAATGTAACTGACCAACTCTCTGTAGAGAGGTTCTAGTCTCCTTGAGCCCCTGTATATCCATTCTGCCTGCTTGCTCTCCACAAAGAGCAACTTGACCAGGCTGGCATCCACCTCCAGCACTGAAGAGGTCATCCTGAGAATCGTTCAGTTGTTAGTAAAAAAATATTGAAAGTTTTGTTTATAAATATGAGACATCTGAATTGTTAAAAATTAATGATCGATTCCTAAAAAAATGAAATTGATAAAATTGAATATTAGAACAAATGAGAACTGACCAAACTCCATTTTGTTCAGCTTTTATTATATGACCTTGCTTCAAGTGAACCATTGGTCTCTGCAATTTTAATTATAATTATTTGAGTTAGCTTCGACGGTAGTGGTGTCATGTCTTTTTTCGTTGTTATTGCGAGGTGACCTGGTTCGAATCATATCTGTCCAAACTAAAAAAAATTATCAGGTGTAGATCAGATCTTGCGTTTACGAACAAAGTGTGTTGGGTATGTATGCAGAGTAACGTAGTTGTAAGGACTTTGTAAATATTATCGCATTACAAGTTTCATTTTACAGGCGATTTCTATAAAGCCTTATTAGGACTTCCATTCAAAGCATTAGGAACTTCACTTGCATGAAAGGGAATCTTACTCCACTTGCAACAAGCTTTATAAAAAGTATTCCAAGTTACGTTGATAAACTTCCTTTCGCTTTCGATTTCCCAGCTTATCATCACTTTTATGACAGCTAACAATAAACTTTGAAAACGATTTCAACATTAACCCATCTTCAAATTAGATTGATATATAACATGACCCTTCTGCACATGTATAGACATCAAAGGATCCATCAAACATTTCTTCACTCCAATTATATTTTAATCCTATTTCTCAGGGCATATCGTTATTTTAAATAGAAATACATTGCTACTATTTTTCCAAACTTTGCCTTAAAAACATGTGCTATGCTGTTTTGGAATCGCTTCTAAAAATGTGTTTCCATAAAATTTCGCTGCAGAACGTTACATGCAGGACATGACCTTCTATTAAAAACTGCTATTCATCATCTGAGCCCATTATTGAACAAATCACAATGATCTCATTTCCATACAAAATACGAAAGCAAAATGAAACGTGTCCAAAAAGTCAAAAAATACAACAAAGCAACCAACGTACATTAGGAAAGACCTGCAGGTACTCTTTGATAAACTGTGAATTACTAGTCCGCACATCCTCCCAAACAAACTTGCCTGTCAACGAGCACAACAGGAATATAAATACAAACAACACGTGAGTATGTATATTATAGAAACATAAATAAAAACGTATAACGCAAATTATTGTGTCAGAACAGATCATTTAGATGTTAACAATCAATTTTTCTTACATTAAAGTATTAAGAAAAAATCAAAAAAGTTAAAATTATATTGAATATCTTCAAATGATATACATTCTTCGACCATAGCAACACAAAATGAGATAGAAATTTACTTTGATCATAGACTTGTCTGATGTCACAAACGGCACAATACTGAGCGTATCCATCATCAAAAAATACTAAATATCTACATGAGGGCAGGTTAATTCACTAGTCTTAAAAGTGGACAAGCTAAAGTCCAAAATATTCATTGATGTAGTTCTACACAGTAAGACAACAAACACACAGTATACAATTTGGTCTGAATTTTAAAAACAATAGCTATTGATAACTTTCCAGAGATGTTAATATTCGATACACATTAGTTGCACAGTACAAACAACAATGTATAAAATACACCAATTGTTAATGAATTATACAAAGAACAAGCAAATGGACTATACAACACAAGTAAAATTTCATCGACTTAACTTGTTTTCATACAATACAAAACATAAAATGAAAAAACTAACAATACCTTAACAAAAAGCAAAAAATCTACAAGCAGTCTAAAGAAACAACCGAACACTCGACAACTTACCTAAAAAAGTTTGTTCTGGACGGACCTTCGGCCACTACGCCAGCATACCAGAAATTCACTACTGATATGTCTCTGTACAAAGCTGCAGAAGTAAAAGTTGTTGAAACTTGAAACATTGCTACGATTAATGATAATGTAACAACAGTTAATCATTTACAGCTTTTTTATCATCATCCTCATAAACATCAGCAGAACAAATCAAGCTATCATCATGTGATCATCAACTCAGTGACATAATCAACTTTACATAGTCAGACTTATTGATATCAAAGAAATCACTAAAAATACAAAGAAGCTAAAAAATTTCTGTGAAAACCAGCACTAATGTCTTTCATTTGCGCATCCCAACAACATTTTTGCTACAACCATTTATTTATTTATTTAATTATTTTTTCTGATGAATAAATTCAACAAATATAATATCTACTTGTAACTTTTATTCAAAGAAACATTTTAAAAGTAATAATTTTCTTAATGCTTGATATTTAAAAGATTCTACTTGGTAAAATTTTTTGGAGATATATGAGAGCTGCTATAGATTTGCAACTAAAATTTTTTTCGACCATTTCCAATAAAATATTTTGTGAAACATTTTACTAATCTAGCTATGTCAAATCTGCGGTAGTTAATCAAATAATCTCTGGGCTAACCAGAAAGCATTGGATTATTTGTTTCTTAATAGATGTGGTGTTTACAAATAAAAAAAAAAAAATAGAATAATAATGAAGGAACACATGAGTGTGAACAAACGAAACGTGGATGGATAAACTATATTGCCTTTATAAATAGTTGCACCTGACCAGTTAAACATAAACAATTAATTACATTAATTAATCAATTAATTAATAGTAATTAAAAAAATAATTATTTTACTAGCAAATGTTTACGAACCTATGACTCGGGTTCCAACTGCCATCAGGTGCTGAGGGACTTCCCCGAATGCAATATTTTTGGATGTGAACGAATGCATTTTGATATCTCCAAAACGAACTAAGTATACCCTCTGGTTGGTGCAAGTAGATGGTAGTCAATGAAAATATATTTTACAAAAATAATTTTTTATAAACTTTGTGAATAGTTGCAAAGAATTGGTTTAATGTGATGGTGGTGTTAATGATTTACGTTACTCAAATGTGCGAACTTTTTCAATGTACATAACCAAAAAATCAGATGGAAATTACGTTTAAAAAACTCTGTAAAATATATATATTTCTATCTATTCTATATTTAATTTTTTTTTTTTTTTGTTAACCACTTCGGAAGCCATGTAGAACTTCTCATGAAATTCTTGTGCAATTTTACTATCATTTGGAACATTTATTTATACCAACTTCAACCTACAATTTCATTGCAAGTTAATCTCAAACACAATTATGCTGAGACCATCCTTGCACCTACTAAAACGTAAGTTTTATTCATTGCTGGTATGGATGAAATATGAGAAAAATTCAAGCAAATAACTACAGCCACTGTCCTCATCAGTGGTCTGTACCTCAGATGCGCTTGAACTTACTTACATGCAAACGTTGGAAAATTTTTTCACTTCTAGTTCCTCAATATTTATCATTCAACATAAATTTCAGATATAAGGTTTAAATATTAAAAAAAGCATCAGAAAAGCAGACAATGTCATAAAAATAAGTGAACATTGCATGCATGCATAGCAGGCAATAGAGAAGGCAGACCTGAGGCAGTGAACTGTTGGGGTTGACGATGTCAAAAAGTATTCCCTCCTTCCAACAGTCTGTCACTTTGTGAGCAAACACTTTACTAAATTTCACCAACTCCCTTTAAATGATTAGATAAAAATTGAAGAATATTTCAAACTAAATTACAGAAATAACAACAAAAAATTGTCAACACATTTAAAAAGACACACAAGTCTAGTAACTGAAATGCTCAATATTAATAATGACATTTATGACAAAAGTGAACCTACCCGCTGGCCATATTGTGGAGGTTGTCACCAATCAACATCACATCCTCATCATCACTGCACCCTGGCCTGTTGCGTTTTTAAAACAATGAAATTGAAAAATGTTGAAATATGCTCAAAAATTTAACTTAACTTGAAAACTGAACAATTAAATACTAGCCTATTTTTTAGATCCCTTCCTGGTCTTATGAGCTCTTGGCAATCAGAAAATGTTTCAGAAATTTGTTTTGCATCTTCTGTAAACGGGAAAATAATAAACTTATCAATATTAAAAATAGAATCAAAGATAATTCACATCATTTATTAGAAAAATATTCGGTCATTTTTTCAAAGAATAAAATTTTATATAAAACAATGAATTTAAGAAAGTTCAATTAAACACACAATTGTTAAAAAAAATTGATGCTCAAGGTTTCTAAATCATATATCCATGATTAACATATATAACTAACTAAAGATATATGTAATTATTACCAGTTACAAATAACAATAGCATGTATTACATCATTAATATTGTTTGAATAAACTAACTAAACCATGAATCAATCTTGAGATGAGTGCATGACAGGCTTGAAAATATCAATTGATAAAAAATAGATACAGTCTCAACACAAAAATGATGATGATGATGACTCTTTTATTACTCAAATATTACATATGATTTTTACAAATTTACAACAATCACAATTCACAACAATTTTTTTTTAATTTAGGCCAGGATTAATTAGCTGGTTAGGGGGTTAGGCTGTAAAGTTGTTGTTAGTCATTGTTAGCTTAATCTTACATAGCTTACGACGGCAACCGTGGACAGGATGGAATTTTAGTTTTATAAGTTTTGCCTTATTAAAGACCATACCAAAAATTGAAAATATGAAAACATTTTATTATTATGGTCTGAAAAGTACAAAATATTTAATAATAAAAAAACCTCTGAGTTTCCTCAGTTCTTCTCCGATGATGCTGGATGAATAAATATCAGTCAATTGGTTTTCTAGCATTAATTTCGTCAAGCTGGACTTAATAAAATCTTTCAGTTCATCATCATTGTGGATGTCTTGCAGATAAAACAAATCAACATCGTCTTCATCATTAAGCTCCATGTCCATAACTTTATTATTTTATAAATATTTTACTTTATAGTTTATTCTAACTTAAAAGTTAATTTTTAAAATTTAAAAAAGTAAACTTTCTCATAATTTAATAATTTAACTGTGAACTTTCTGCTAATTAAGTATGACTGTAAACATCGTCCTAATCTAATTTAAACATGCAGAAAACTGGATTAAAAAATGAAATGGTGCAAGTACGTAAAAGTCATCATAGACAACACGCAAGTCCGCGGCAACCGCACATTTGTTATTTGTTTATGTTTTTTTTAGATACATAGAGAAGAAAGTCCTTAAAAGTGAATTTGCCATGAACATAAATTAAAATTTTATATGAAATAGGACAGTCAGTCAGTCAGTCAGTCAGTCAGTCAGTCAGTCAGTCAGTCAGTCAGTCAGTCAGTCAGTCAGTCAGTCAGTCAGTCAGTCAGTCAGTCAGTCAGTCAGTCAGTCAGTCAGTCAGTCAGTCAGTCAGTCAGTCAGTCAGTCAGTCAGTCAGTCAGTCAGTCAGTCAGTCAGTCAGTCAGTCAGTCAGTCAGTCAGTCAGTCAGTCAGTCAGTCAGTCAGTCAGTCAGTCAGTCAGTCAGTCAGTCAGTCAGTCAGTCAGTCAGTCAGTCAGTCAGGCAGTCAGTCAGTCAGTCAGTCAGTCAGTCAGTCAGTCAGTCAGTCAGTCAGTCAGTCAGTCAGTCAGTCAGTCAGTCAGTCAGTCAGTCAGTCAGTCAGTCAGTCAGTCAGGCAGTCAGTCAGTCAGTCAGTCAGTCAGCCAGCCAGCCAGGCCAGCCAGCCAGCCAGGCCAGCCAGCCAGCCAACCAACCAATTAATCAAATATGGTCTCCTTTCAACATATATATATATATATATATATATATATATAAATGTATACTATTACTATATTGCAATACGAAAGTCGAGATTAGATAAATTTTGACAAAGAACAAAAAGGTTGAGTCATTATAAAGATGATATCAAATATGGATTGGATAGAATAATAATTTTGTTGTTGTATGGTCAGAGACATGACACATAAAAATTTGCCTAAATCAAATTATGGTGAAATGACCAAATGAAAAAATTACATTTGTTGTTTCAGTTTTTATTATTAACATTTTCATTGAAATTAAACTAAAAATTTAAAGCACAATCACAATTGTTAGAAAAATTAAAACTCTCAAAGTAACATTTTAAACTTGAATATATAAAATTTAAAAAAATGACGTACACATTCGCTCAAAAATAATGAAAACGCAGTTAAATTTTGGAACAATTTTAGCTGTCATCGCTTAATGGATGCGAAGATTGTGAGCGTGTGCTAATTAAAAGTCTCTATGATTGATCGATGGCATTGCTAAACAAAATTTTTTTTTATCTCCTGCACTTGCAATTTACTAATGATTCCACTCGTTTGTTTCCTTTATACGAAGTTTTGACTCGTTTTTCTGCAAGAATTTATTCATAATTGACACGTTTTAAAATGCATAGAATATACTGATGACGTGTTTTTTTTGTTCTGTTGGTTAGTATTATTATATATACTTAACAAAAACCTCACAAACTATTTTATACAAAAGTTTAAATCAGTTGATTTCAGAAATTATAACAGAAATAAACTGTTTTAAAGTTTTGTGTATCTTTGTTTATTTTGATTTCAGTAAGAGAAAAAATATATGAGTGGTATTGGAAACACAGAGCAGCAATGCTCTCAAATAATTTTTTTTGAAGATCTACTGCGACCAGAATTGAATGTAAGCTGAGTCAATGACATGGATCAAATATATGGTCCGATGCCTGTTCGTGCCGCCGCATGTTCGCTTTATTTGGAGGTGAGTAGAATGATGCTTCTGGCCATCTTTACCGAATTCTTAACAAGCAGCATGCATTTTCTGGTATCGTGTTGATCCTATTCATATGCCGTCCTCATCTGCCTTCATTATATTGTGAGTTTAAAATTATATTCTGAAAAGTATTTGTTTTGTTATAATAAAAAAACATCTCGGTTTAAGGTTTTGATAACAAAAATGTCAAAATAGTCGGTTTGCGGTTTTAACAACCGTAGCAACATTCTTAAAACGATAATGGTGGTTTGAAATTCTGATGTGGCTGTTACATTGATATTATAGAACTGGTGCCTGATATTTGATCTCATCACTTGCCCTGACGTCTGCGTTCCTTTTATATTCAATATTTTTCTGTATTTTATAAATTTATGTTAGTTGCTATTTAATTAAATAGAACGTTTTTTCAATTATTTGTTATGCTTTGTTTAGTTTTTTAGCCTATTTGAAATTCAACGTAAAGAAACTGCTGGTGATTCGATGTTCCTTTTTTCGCACATTTCCGCTTGATTCTTTTGACACGAATGAAATCAATCTGTTCAAACTCAGATTTTTACTAAAAGCTTGTTTTTCTGTACCTTTTTGGGTCATTTACTAATTTCATGTTGTCTTATTTTATTTTGAGGCATGGGCATGTAACACTCATGACCGATCTCCAATTTCGCCCGATTAAGCAAATGAATATAATTTATGCAGTTTTAAAATTTTATTTATTTTAAAAGTATTCACAATGTTTTATTCTTCATTTCAACAGTCAACACGGTATTGTACCAAATCATTTTCACTTTAAAGTGTTGTACGATAAACACAATTCAGTAAACACACCATTCATTCAGGAACAAATACAAAATAAAATATTTTTATGAAATTTTATTATATATAATATATATATATATATATATATATATATAATATTATATATAAAGTAAATGTATATATATTTAAAAAGGTTTAGCCAATAAGTATTTATCGCCTCTTTCATAGGAAATGAAATGGAAAGATAATAAATAGATTTGAGAATTTCAATTGATGGCTCAACAAATATAGAACGCTGCCATGTATTCTAGCATGACAACGCTATGCCTTCATCTGACATGCTGATTGATTTGATCAACGCCTATATCGATATAACCACGCTACATGTAGGCGTGTGCTACTATATCAAAATCAATGCAGATGAAACTCTTTCTTTGTCAGACGCTTCTCATTATAAAAGTGCCTGCCACCACCCCAGCACTACCGGATATCATTAAATGTTCCTCCTCTTTCCAAATATAAACACAGGCGTGAGACACATCTTCAAACTTGATAGCACGCATTTAAGTTTCAATCGTGTAGGTACTTAGTACAGCAGCATACACAAGACAGCACTGCACATACATGAACAAAGTTTTCATTTGATGGCTTTCGGTTCGAAGGACTCAATTTTATTAATCTAATCAACGATCAAACACTCGCAATAAAATTAAATTTTCCCATACATCTATATATTTACATTTTGTTGCTTCCAACGTTGTGTTATCCAGTAGATATTATTTTTAACATATTTATACATATTTTATGACACGTGTCAGAAAAATATATGCATTTAAATCATTGAAAAAAATTAAGCGCAGAACGAGTTCAAACAAGACAACACGGAACACGCACAATGCTCCATTCCACCACACGCACGAACGTCCTATTTAAAGCATTCCTTTTAATTTCTGAATTTAAATCAGCAACTGCAAGTTTAACGTGCGTATGATCGATCGGACAACCTTCATGAAACTAAATGCTTACTGGAAATAAAAGTCATTTTGTTTTCACATCAACCTTGATTTAATTGATATACATACATATACATAAATATATAATATATATATATATATATTTATATGTAGAAAGAGAGAGAGAGAAAACAAGAAGTGATAGGGAGGAAGATGGAGAAAAAGTGAGAAAAAAATGAGAGAACACATAAGTCATATACATTATATATAAGCAGACGCATAAACCACACACGCACCCACACAACAACGTACATGTTCCGGAGTGTTTTGCTGTTGCGCATTTATTGGTACCCTATCGATGGATATCTTTCTGGATTAATGTATGAGCACGTGACTTTCAGTTTTTTTCTTATTTTATTAAAATGTCCTAAAAATTATATTACGCTTGGGAAGATGCTATAGGTTGAAAACGTTTATCATCATCGTCATTGTGGTCATCATTATCGTTATATCATCATCATCTTTTCCTTCATTTTGTTTCTTTCTAATCATTCACATCGTCTCTTTCTCGATTTCCTCGTTATCATCTCATTTTTACGTCATCATCACCTTCGTCGTCACGTATAGCAATTTTAGTCACGAATGTGATGAAAAGTTGGTGAAAATATAACCATTGTCGTTTTTCTCATTCTTTTCATTGGTATCCATCAAAGCCATTCATATACATCATAACCATGAAATGCATCAGTATTTTGTCCTAATCAGCTTTATTTTTGCGCTTTCTTGACAACAAAACTGTTTTGTTGATGTTTTTTAAGGATCATTATTAGTTAAAGTCAATACATGCCACCGTAAAAATAAATAGAACCAAGTCAGTCAGCCAATAAATTAATCAACCAATTAGTCAATCAGCTGTTTGGCCGGTCAGCTAACCACTATCCAGTCTGTCACTCAATCAGTCAGCCAACTAGCCAATCAGCCAACTAGCCAATCAGTCAGCCAACCAGTCACTCAGTCAATCAATCAGCCGTCCAGCCAACCAGCCAGCCAGCCAGTCAACCGGTCATTATGCAAGCCAAACGAGAAATTTGATTATCCTTTCTTCTTATCTTTTCTGTAGATGTCTTCATTTCAAACATCGTCGTCACCATTTTTAATCCTATTTGTTTTGTAATTTGTTGTTTTCTCTAGTAAACATTCTGCTGAATTCCGATGCTGCTTGGAGCCTTTAATAAAAACTTTGAGTCGTTCTAGCAATAAATTAACTTCAGTACGCTCTTTTTGTTTTCATGCAACAGCTTATTCTGTTTTTTAAACAACCTATTTTTAATACCTGTTATTTTCCGACTTTTATAAATTGTCTTGATAGTATTTGTAAAGGTAGAAATTTATATACGTCACTTTATGAAAATTTTATAAACTTCAAAACATGATTTATTTTCAAACGTGTCTCAATTTT